GAAAAAAAAACAGAAAATAACATTTTCCTGAGCTTGGAATCCCAGCATTCCTATCCAGCTACCCTTGCTTGTTTCTGAACTATCCTTTCCAATTGTTCCATCAATCAATTATCTTTGCAGTCAGCTAAATAAATAATCTTGTATGCTCCTATTGGGTCCTTGCCTGCAGACACCTTCTCCAGCTGCACATGGATTTAGCATATCCAATCCATACAGCACATGAACACCAACAATGTCCAGCTACCAACAACCACTCCCTTTATTGCTGAATATTTCTGCCCTTATATTTGCCTCAAATGATGTGCCTGCTTTCAAATTCCCTGGGAATTGAAGTCCACAAGTCTTAAAGTTGCCAAGTTTGGAGACCTCTGGTCTATGTGATAGTTTGTGTGGTGTTGGAAGGGGGGGGGGACTTTAACTTTGAAACCTTTTTATAACATCCCATGTGTTTTGCTGTTACCAGAAAAATTACCACATGTGCCTTGGAGAAATCACATTACTGTGCCCAAACCACAGACATAATGAAAGGAGGAAGGAGACTTAAAAACTATCAATGACATTTTTTTTATTATTATTGCTGGTATCAGACTATACAAGAAGGGAAAGAGCACACAGATAATTTTGTACAGATCTGACATTAGGCCTGCTGCATTCTTACTGGGGAGTGGAGTCAACAAAATATCACCCCTTGGATCAGAGCCTTCCTAAACTACTTTTTCTGTTGGGCCATGACATCATGTTCCAGACTGAAAGAGGAATACCTGGTGCTAGCTTCCTATTTTTCTTTTTTTCCAGATTGTATAAAGGCAAGCAGAAACTAATCAGCTGCGTGTATTCAGTCTCAGATTCCCTTTGCCTTTCTTCAAAAGCAAGGTTCTAATTCAAAAACATTTGACTTTCCTTACAACAGTGCTTATTTTCAAATAACAGCTGTCTGTTAAAGAGACTCTCCCTCCCCTTAATACAGGGCTGTCAAACTCCCGGCCCATGGGCCGGATGCATCATGCGCTGGCCATGCCCACACCCAGTTTAGCAAAGGGGAAAAAAAGTCCCGATATGTCATGTGACATCACCATGATGAGTGAGTTTGACACCCCTGCCTAAATAGATATAGTTAAGCCCCTGCAAGTTGCCAGTGGTGCTGTGAGAGCATGAGGGAAGTTGAGCCTGGAACTTGTGACATCATTAAGACAGTTAGCCTGGAATGTAGATTTGAATAATCTGGTTTTGGAAACCAGGACAGTTGAGATCTGACTGAAGGCAAAAGGACAGATTTAATTTAATCTGTAAGCATAGTGTTATCAAGCTACTTATATTTCTAACTCTGGTATCCAGGTTCTCCATGGTAAGATCTAATCCCTTTCCAAAAGTGTTCAAGGCACAATTCACTCACTTTATCCTCACAAGAGTCCTGCATGGTAGATTGGGAAGATAAACTGGGATGGACTTCCCAAAAAGTTTCTCTGAGATTCATTGAGGATATACCAGGGATTACAGTTTCCTCACATACAAAGTTTCTAGCTGGTTTTATTTCTGTTCCTTTGAAAACCAGGTTTAGACAATTCATCTTTTATTTTATCTTGCTTCCTCTGTTTCCACATCTTCAGTTTCAAGCAAAGTGGATGTTGCCCGAGAAAGCTTTTTCCAAAAGATTAATCTTCCAGCATCCTTTTCTTCCATCCCTCTTCAATTGTTTGATAGACTATAGACTATTTTTTAAATTCTCCCATATCTCCTGTCTTGCAATTTAAATCTTATTGAATCTTGTCCTGCCTTCTTGGGCAGTATAGTAAACCTTTGCCCGCTTTTATCTTTTTTTAAGTTAGTTTTTTTTTTAATCTGCCTCTCATAGGACTATCATATTCATGTAGTGGGAGAGCTTAAATGCCTCAATGATTCTGGGATTAATTGCAGTGGTACATAATCTTCTGTAATTGACAGTTTAGCCTCTAAGGTCAAAAAGTTAAAGCTAAAGGTAATCCATAATAGGAATGAGGGCAGGTGGGATTTTGCAGATCTAAAGAAGGAACTCCAAAATCAAAGTAGGAAGATGACAATGGCAAGCTCCTTTTGCATTGCTGTCAAGAAAACAGTATGGACATGGCTGGAATATTTAGACAAGTTTGGGTGCTAGATTACGAGATTCCCAGGTTAGAATGTACTCCTGTAATTACTGGACAAGAATATCCAATTTTCATAAGTGGGTCTGGAGGTGATGACAAAGGCCAGATCAAAGCTGCAAGGGAGTCCTGTCACTGTGGCGGCAGTTATTAAAAAATACTTTGTTGTACTTTGTCAAACAAAGACATGCTGAATTGGAACATGGAATATACAAACATGATTTGAATTTGTCATTGTCATATGGACCATTCTAAATTGAATGAATTAGGAGTGATTTAACTTAGCTGGACTGGAATTTTGATTACATATCATTCAGGTCATGATAATATATAAAGAAAATTGAGTGGCGATAATACTCAAAGAGGACATCACTTTGTGCTCAGCTATAATTTGCTCAGTAATAGGGTCAGACTTACTCATGCAAATGCATGGATTACTACAAAAGTAAAAATGTAGATAATGTTATTTTTTTGAGCTCAATAATAAATAAAGATGAGCAATGTGCTGGAAGAGTAAAGATAAGATTAATGCTAGGGAGGGAGGATGGTATTTGTAACACAGCAAAAATCAGAGTAATTAAAGCAATGCTATTTGTAATGATAATGTACAGCTATAAAAACTGGACATTATAAAAGTACTGTGTGAGATAAAGAAGATTGAATTATAGATCTGAGGGTGGCTACACTAAGTACAATGGACTGCAAGAGTCCTGACTAAATAAAGGCTAATTGCTTCCTTGAAGTAAAGATCAGCAGGTAGAAACTCATATTCTGAGTATGTTACATGAACAGATAAAAACTAAAAAGATGATAGTGCTTGACAAGGTTGAAGGAAGTCAAAGGAGAGACAGCAAATAAACTGGCTGGGAAGTTTCAAAGAGATTACAAGATGTAACTGGAAAAGCCCCAGCTTATTACTAGAGCCATGTCCAAATGATGAGAATTTACCCATGGTCTCACTAGGAAGAGAGATCAATGGCATCTAACTAAGAAATAAGTTTTTTAATTCATTTTATGGACAAAGAGAGTTGGATTTTATACCACTACCACCCCAACAATATCAAAAAAGATTCAGGCTTTCCTTATTCATTGATATGTAATTTTCCCACATTTCAGGTGCAAAAATCCTCAGGCAGTAGAAAAATACAGAAATCTCTGGCCAGAGATTTTGTCTGGCTTTTTGCCCCACAGAAGTAGTACAATCTATGTTAGCCAAGTATGTTAGACTCATCTTCACACACCCTTAATCGAGTTATGAATATGCCATAATAATGATTTTCTAAAGGCAGCGGTGAATTAATCCTTTGTATTATATAGATGTTTGATGGTTGGCCATGCCCACCTTTTCAAACATTTAGTAAAAATGTTCATAAAATTAGCTCTAGCATATCTGGCCTACAAAAAACAAACAAACCTCCCTATGAATATTTTTAGCATTCTCACTTCTCTACCACTATCTAGTGGAAGTCCAGATTTTTGTAGCCCAGATATAGTAATCCTGTATAACATACTCCAAAAATCCCAACTGCGTTCACTGACATCAAAAGTTTGGGACTCCCTAATAGTAAAGGAAGGAGCTCTGATCTTGGAAGAAATCATATCAGTTGCCAGAATCATCATCTTTTTTCATTTTACTTCAATTCACTTAACTTTCATATGCAATGTTTGCAATCTAGGATTAATTGACCACCTTTGTGATTCCACATCAGTGACCCTATTTGGCAGCTCAGCTTAATTTCTTTCCAGGTCAACTTTGCAAATCAAAATAATGCAAATCTATTTTTCAGCTGAAGTTCTAGAGCTCCATGGAGCTTTGGAGTGGGATATTCTCCCATGGCAGAAGCTCTCACCTCTCATCTCCCTCCCCTCAAATAGCCATGGTTTCCTGATGCCAAATGTGATCATTCACTATTCTTTTAAATTGTGAACAGAGTGATAATGATATGCTTGCTTTCCTTCATTTCAATGGCTATGGCATATTTTAGCAAACTTCATTCATTCATTCATTCATTCAATCATGTTAATTAATTAACATATACACCACCCATCTTACCTAAATGATTTTCAGCAGTTTTTATAGCCAATCATTTAAAAATAATGATTCCAGAGTGAGAACTGTGGTATTGTAAGACACTTTTCATGTATTTCCATGGACCATCCATAAGACACACTTCCAGATGTGAGGGTTTTGGCGATTAGAGACTGGTTGTAGTGGGGACAAATGAGCCAGTCTGAAAGGATTTCTGAAAGTTTGGAAACTGAAAACAGTGCTGTCGGAAGAGAACTACGTTTTTTTAAAAAATATTCATGGACACTCATCTTAGTGAAACTATATATTTTTTTCAGTCTATGGATCTTCTCTATCCTTTCACTCAGTTGACCTTTACTGATACCATTCTTCATCTCTGCCATCGTCTTTTATATCTTTTCTCCATTTGCATAGAAAATATATGGTGCAAATTGAGTGGTCTACATAGCTTGTTTGTATACATCTGCTTTTTCATGGTCTCTCCACACTTTCAGCGATGTGTTTCTACAGTGGCATTGATGAGAACTGGATATTTTTCATTTGTTCAGAAAAGAATCAGTTTGGCCTGGGACATAAAACCACTTGAATGTGTATTGCAAGGGAAGAGAAATCTTTCCTTTCATATGTTACTCAACTATAATTTCCAATGTCTGTTACCACAACTAGTGCTCTCTGGAGTTACTAGAAACATCTGGAGGACCACAGGTTCTCCACCTCAGATATAGAGAGAAACACCAAGATATAATGTTAATTAGGCCATCTTGGAAATGTATGCATGATGCCTCCCTCCCTTTCTTATGTTTTAGGAGGTCAGTGAAGATATGCCAGTGTGTCCTGCCAACCTCTCTGTTATGACTGATCGTCTGGCTAACGGAGATCAACAAATGCTCTTAGAGACCCTGAAGCAGATAGAAATCATAAACAGTCCTTTGCCATTAGAGGCAGTTGTCAAAAAGGAGAAAAATGTCCACAAAGATTATAAGTATGATTACGCTGAGGAGCAGGAACAACGAAAAGCCAGGCACACGCAAACCCATGAAACTGACAGCGAAATAGAGAGGATGCGGTTGGAGTTTGAGCTGACCATACTGAAGCGGCAGCATGAGGAGAATGACAGGCAACGGCTGCATGAGGAAAAGATGGAGCACATACGCCAGGGATCTCCCTCCAGGAGTGGTGCTCATGTGGAAGAGGAGCAGTTTGTGGGTAAGCTGGACCCCATTACAGAAATTGAACTGGAGAAGTTGCGCATGGAGTTTGAACTGGCCAAACTGAAGCACATCTCTGAGGAGAATGAGAAGCAACGACAACATGAGCAAAAACTATATGAAGAGAAAGAGAAACAGAGGCAGCATGAAGAGAAGATGGAGCAAATGCGCCAGAGGCAAGGAAACCTCCATATAGTGAGCCAGAAAGTATCTGGGTGCAGCCCAGCAGAAGCCACAACTGAAACAGCTTCTGTGGCCTTTACTGAGATGGGTAAGATGAGGATAGAGCTCCAGCTGGCTTTGGAGGTATATAGGCCGGAGATGAAAGAAAAGAAGCTCTCAGGTGAGCAAAATGGGCATCAAGAGACCCCAAAATGTGAACAGCAATTAGAGACCACCTCAGAGGTAAAAAAAGCCAATATGCCCCCAGAGCAACGGAATGATGGGGTGACTGAACACCTGGGCCTGCAGGTGCCACGCATTGTGGTCAATGGGGCAGAGTCACAATGGTCCAGCAGTAGACTGGACTTGGCCATCGAGACAGAGCTGGAAAAGAGGCGGATGGAGTTTGAACTAACGAGGCTGAGATATGAGCATGAAGAGAATGAACGTCAGCGCCAGCATGAGCAGAAAATGGAGCAGTTGCGTCAGCAAGTATCACCCAAGGATATAGCATAAGATATACAGGGTGTAGGTAAGAAAAAGATGCCCATATTTTCCCCTCTTTACTTAAGAATCCATGTACTCTGACCAAGAGGAGGATGGTGAATGATCAATAGTACAATTTTCCAATGGGGATGCTAGGATTAGTAGTCCAAGTGCCATTTGTTTTGAAAGGAAACCCCACTAGGCGTTTGTTAACTATACAATGCTCTCTTCTAAATAACAGTTAACTACTATTGCATGTTAAGAAACTATCTTTGGGACAAGCATAAATCGAAGCTAATTCAGAGCTTGGGAATGGATGCAAGAATATACAGGTAGTCCATTCAGTCCACATCCATTCTGAAGTTCTGGAGGCCACAAAGATATAGGTAATCCTTGACTTACAACAGTTCATTTGGTGGCCATATGAAGTTACAATGGCACTGAAAACAGTGATTTATGACCGCTTTTCACAGTTATGACCATTGTAGCATAATCATGTGATCAAAATTCAAACGCTTGGCAACTGATTAATATTTATATGGTGGTTGCATGTCCCAGGGTCATGTGACCTTCTGGCAAGCAAAATCAATGGGGAAGCCAGATTCATTTAACAACTGTGTGTCAACTCATAAAACATTTTGTACATATGTTTTATACTTGTCAACAGAAAGGAAGGGGCAGTTTCAAAGAGCAGGCTGCAGTGTGGAATCGAAAGTACACTCCATTCATACTTTCTTCAGAGACTGATTAGATGACTGAAGCTTTTGCCATGCAAAAATCTAATTGGAGAGCATGATTGATGACTCTTGGCTATGGACATTTTTCGTTGGATGATACACCCAGAGAGGTGGAGGGGGGAAGCAGGATCAAGGGTGACAGTGAATTATGTGCCTCAGAGTTGGTTACCCCCCAGGCTAATGCTGGAATGTTAATTTCTAATAAATCCTTTTTAGTTTTGGGAGTGTGGCTCGAGGCTCATGATTTAATTGGAGTAACAGCAGGGATCCTGACACTGTGTTACTAACTTAACAACTGCAGTGATTCACTTAACAACTGCAACAAGAAAAGGTTAGGCAAATCTCACACTTAACAAATATCTCACTTAGCTATATTGTGGTCATAAGTCAAGGACTACGTGTACTTTCTATTAACTTAGCTGGAGCATTAGAAATCTAAATCAATAATCAGCAGGAACTCAATAACATTAGAGTAGCATTGTAAACCCTAGGTCACAAAATGGGAATTTTAGCCACACATACACTTCACAGCTGCTTGTTGGGTTTGAGTCAATGGGGGCTTTTCTCTTGAATTACTTTACGAAATGGGTTGAATTTATGTGTACCTATCTGTACAACCTAATGCATTCATTCTTTTTCATCCCTACAGTGTGAATGTGAATGAGGAGTCCATGTAATTATTGCCGTACACCTTCGATTAAGAGGCTGTGTTATCAATGGCTGAGATCACTGTTCTGTATGACTATAATCCTTCACTTTTAATTGCCCAGGAGCATATTATACTTTATTGGATTACTCTGCTATCTGTGCATTGTGTTTTTCTTCATTAAATAAGTATTATACAGTGTTTTTCCTGTGATGTTTCCCTGCTCAAACTTGTTTTTAGAAGTTTTATGGGGAATCAACTAATTTTGTGGAACTGCATACATCAAACTGTAATTCAGGTTCTCTGGAACAATGTTATGAGTCCAGAAATGCCATAATGAAAGAATAGGTTTCCTGTAATGTAATATTTGTGTTGCATCTAGCTGCTAAAACATCTTCTTTTTAACCTATTCCATCTGGGTATCATCCTGTTCGTTCTAGTAGTCATAATCAGTAGATTTTAAATGTCTATGGGGATTTTCAATCATGGTTGTCCCAAAGGTGCTTTTTAAAGAGGCAACTGGACTTTCTGTTTTTCCTTTGAGGACATTTTGCTTGTCATCCAAGAAGTTTCCATTCCCCACCATCCAGTCAGAGTTGAAGAAGCTTCTTGGATGAGAAGCTAAATGTCTTCAAAGAAAAACCAGAAAGTCCAGTTGCCTTTTGAAAAAGCACCTTTGGAACAGTAGATTTTAAAGGCTGCACTGATCTTTAAAATACCATAACCAACCACAGGCATTAAGGTGCTCTGTGAGAAATATTGCTATGGATGACTCATGATCAATTGTTTGATTCTTCTGGGTTACAAGAGATAGATGAGGGAGGGAGGGAGGGGGAGGGGGAGGGAGGAAAGAGGAGAGAGAGGGGGAGGGAGGGAGGGAGAGAGAGAGAGAGAGAAAAATGAATGTTTTCCAGACTTTTTGTGGTGAGACAGTAGTACAGGGGTCTCAAACACAATTTACCTGGGGGCCGCTGGAGACAGAGGCTGGGTGAGGCTGGGCCGCATAAGGGATTCCACTTGGCGTCGCTCTTGTTCCACGTTTCATAGAAGTGTTTAGCCAGCTAGCGACACATGGAGAACGTCTTGACGCGTGACGTCATTTCCGCTTCTACTTGTCACAACAGCGCGGTGGATGACGAACAGCAGTCGCCTTTCTCTGCGTTTGATCGTGGCATTTGTTGGTGGTAGAAAGTACCGGAATGGCGACCGCAAAAAAAGGCGACTGCTACCGAACTGTTTGTCATCCGCCACACTGTTGTTACAAGCGTAGTGTGCATGAAGTCGGTGTAGCTTAGCCTAGCACCGAATGTCAGCCACAACGAGGAACGACGGGCAGGACTTCCTTCAGAGGTCCATTCCCCCTGCAGGCCGCACTAATATTATACTTTCATATCACGGTGGGGGCCACAGGATATCGTCCTGCGGGCCACAATTGGCCCGCGGGCCGCGAGAATGAGACCTCTGCAGTAGTATGACTTGACATGCATAGATTAAGACCTCATCTTTGACCATCCTAGTGTTGTTACTGCTAGGAGAAATGTGACTGTATGCATTAATCAACTGTAGAAACAAAGAATTAGTGCCAGTCAGCTGCTAAAAAGACTGGAGCTTTTTCCTCCCTAATCTCCCTTAGTGAGTTTCAACTATCCCTGTGTGGAAGTAGAACAAGCTGGCTGCATAAAATTATCTTGTCCTGCTCTCCTCCCTTCTAACACACAAGATTATTTTATTTATCAAGAGCTTGCCTTCTTTTGTTCTATCATTTATCTCCTCATCTGTGGAGTGAAATCAGTTTCTTCTAGGTTATAAATCAGCTATCTTAATGAGAAATGAACTGTGTGTTGTGATATCCAGCAGCAACTTTCAGTTTAATAGTCTTCTTGCAGCATTCAAGATCTGCAGTCATTGTTCGGAGAACTGAAAGGCAAAGATTTGAAAGAAAAGCCTAGGGCATTACTAATAGCACAATGGCAAGTGACCCTGTACTTCTAACATGCTAAGCATGTGCAACAATGAAACAAAAATGGAATCAAAGTACATGGGAAACACTGCCTCCTGTTGGCTATTTGTGGTGTTCGGTTGTTTTTTTGGATGCAATATTTTAAATTCATGGGAAATCGTGTTAAATCACCTCACCCACACTTGTTTTTGAATAAAAGCCATTTTGTACAGGACTGCAAACTTTTGTCAAGAGAGCAACTGGTTTAGTAAAAATCTGTTTTATTTAAAACTGCCATTAGATAAAAAGTTAAAACCCTGCTTACAAAAATACATTTCGTCATGAGATGGACAGTCATAGATTATGCTGACTACCGGTCATGTACATGCAACATTTTCTAGAGAAAAGAAAAAAAACAGTTGCATCCCAACTATATTGATGTACAATCAGTGAATTGGAAAAGTTCTGCACATAGGCACCTCCTTTTCTGTGAAATATTGAAAATCCATCTGGTTCAGTGGTGGGATTCAAAAAATTTTACTACTGGTTCTGTGGCCGTGGCTTGGTGGGTGTGGCAGAAATATCCAGTCAGAGGTGGCATTTGCCGGTTCTCCGAACTACTCAAAATTTCTGTTACCGGTTCTCCAAACCTGGTCAGGACCTGCTGAATGCCACCTCTGATCTGGTTGCTTGTGGTGCTTCAACCATGAGGTGGAGTGGTGGTGGAGCTGCCCCATGTGCCCCCGCACCAGCTTACCTCAGGGCTCCCACAGCCAGGCCATCCACGTAATGACACCTGCCTTGTGGCAGCAGCACCAACGGCCATTTGTAGCAGGAGCCCAAGTGGCCACTAGCTCACTTCTGCTTGCTCGCAACCACAACGGAGCAGAAGTTGAGCAGCCTGCAGGTGTCAGGGCGTGAGGTAAGGGGCCCTGAGGTAAGCTGGTGCGAGGCCTGCCTTGCAGTACTGGTACTAGTGCACCACATGACCTCTTGCCCTGCTGTCAGCAAGCAGAAGTGGGTGTCCCATACATGGAAAAGAAATAAGACACCCTCCAAAATAAGGCTTAGTGCTTATTTTGTAAATTGGTACAATGATATATTCTGTGATTTATAGTACATAAATGAATATTGGAGGGCCAGTGTGATACAGTATTTTAAAGCTAGAAAACCAGGAAATAGCCAGCTAGCTGACTTGGGCCAACCACCCTCTGCCTTAAAAAGAAGGCCAGGACAAATCATTTCTGAAATGATCTGTCTGAGCAGTCACCAGGTATCAAAACTGACACAAAGGCATGAAAAAGAGGACAAGACAAGACAGAAAGTGGCCATCCCTCCAATAGCAATGCATTTCTAGGCTAACAACTTCTGTTCTAATTAACTGATAACTTAATTTTCATCAGCAACTACGGCTAGGTGAAAGTATCCTGCTCTGTAATGTACTTCTCAGCAGCTCAGAGACAACCTCCAACCAACTCCCCTCATCCCATTAAAACAAGATATCATCACTGTTGGCCAGGCTTCGTCCCTCGCGCAGGAGATCTCTGCTCACTTTAAAAATGATTCAGAAAATGTATTATGGATTTTAGCCACAAACAGCCCCTCTCTGCTATTTAGCATACTATTAAGAACCAAGGCAAGCCTGACATGAAAAAGAAAGGGGGAGAGGGGATTACAAAATTTCCTTAGTTCAAGAAGAGGACTCCCTAAAGCAAAACAAAATTTTTTTTAAACTTCACAAAGTTGCTTAAAAACATCCAGTTTGCATAAACGAATAGCAAAGAGGCACCATGCTTGGCCAAGGGCTTTGGTGCTGCACCACACTATTTTTCAAGGTCCTACCTGCATCCCCTCCTACATTGGGATCTGGATCAGTATTCTGCCCAGTTAGGGTTATAAATCAGAAAGAATTTATTCTTCCTCATATGCTCATCTGCATATGAAGATGAAGAAGTCAATGAGGTGACATAACTATAAGGGTTGCATGGGAGAGGACAGAGAGTGGCAGAAGGAGATTATGGATGAGTAGCTAAATTTAGCCATGCAGAACTCAGAATTTCCATTAAATTGAATCAGGTCCACAGTGTACCTAGCTCGGTTGCAACATGTGTCCTTTTAATGCAATGGTAGAAAATAGTTCATGTCCTGGTTTCTGCTACCAAACATAGTTTAGTTCAATCTTATCTGAGCTGCTGCTTTCAGATATACAGTATGTTACTGCAACTCTCATAACCTTTGTAGGGATTGCAATGCTAGGTGACAATGAAATAATTTATTCATTCAGAGCCCTCCAGTTGTGCTGGAGATCGCATTTTCCACAATTCATGAACTTGGAGACCAAGTTGAGAAGACTGAAATAGTCTAACAACTCTAGATTGTGTTAAATTGTGAAATGATACAGTACTTCATTTAATGCCACTCAGGTGAATAGCCATCTCTGGTGATTGGCTGGCCCAATTCACCTACAACGTAATTTGAATAAACCATAGTTGGTTGGGCTCACAGAACATGCTAAATCATAAACTATGGCTTACAAATCACACTGGCTAGATGTACACAACTTGTTAACAGAGTAAATTATATTTTAGTATGTTTTGTGAATTCCTTCACTATATTTCTATCTGAAGTGCTTGCAGTTTAGTGATAAGGCATCTTACTCCACTGCTAAGTTGAAGGTGAAATCTCCCACTTTGAGTCAGCAGAGGACTGGCAAGAAACTTGTAATTGCTGATTCCTGTTTTTTAATCTCTGTGTGGCTTGTGTTTGGAGCAATTGTATCCTCTGATATTTTCCAAGGTAACAGATGAAAAACACCTAGCAGATGTTATAATACACATAAGACTGCCATTCTTGAACAATATCAGAACATGAGGGAAATTTTTTATACTAGTATAAGTAAGAATTGATCTGTCACTCTCACAGGATACAGACAAGATGAAGGCAATGTCATGGGGATGGAGCAGGAAAATAAATGTTGTCAGGACAGGTTTTTCTATTATTAGATGAAAGTTTGAAAAAGCCCATAGCAAGTAGCCTGGAATATGAAATTGTTTTCCTAATAGACTTCACCCTACCGGCAGAAACCTAGGGAAGAATATAATGTGATTATTTTGATCTTATTCAAAAGTGGCAGCATAATTCCTTTTTTTTCCAGAAAGTTGTTTTTTTACTTTTGATTATAGTTAATATTACCCTGATTAACTAATAATAATAATAGCCAGTCACCTTAACATCACACCAACCTAACAAGGTAAACCTGTCATCTACCATACAAAGTATTCTTCCATTGAGCTCTGGACCAGTTGTAACAATAGGCAGGTGAAACATCACAGTGTAGAATCTGTGACATCAGCTTAACCGTTGGATCTGTAAACTTGGCTTTCCTGTGAATATATTGCCAGAGACAACAGTTATAGAAGTACATGATGGAAAATTGAAAACTAGTGGGATTGAAGGCAGCTTGTTGCATCTTCCAGCCTTTATATTCTTACTTCCTGCTGCCTTGCACCTAAATTCATCATGGTAAGGTTTATACTTGTTCTTGAATAATAGAGAGTGAGACCTTTCCTTCTAATGCAAACAGTGGGCCTAAGATCCTAAATCCAGATTGGGATTCCAGGAGGAACAAAGTGTTACACTCTTGTTCTTCATGCAAGGACTCGGATTCATATTACAGCTAGTTTCATTGACATTACAGCTAATTACATTGATGGGGACGCTTCCAAACTCACAGTTTTAACATCAAGAGAATAAAAAACCCAGCAGTGAAGAAAGATCAGTCAACTCAGTAGGTCTCTTTAAATAAATGGATGTTCCCGGAGGGAACAAAGGGATCAGATCAACATTTCATCATCTGAGCTACACCACTGAGAATATCCTTTCTTGTGTACTCAGTAAACATACATCTGATGTTAAGAATAACCTGTTCCTAAAAAAAAAATTACAAAAAAAATGTATACATGTTTTGACTACACTGAAATTCAAAAAAATAACTGAGGCAAATATATATAAACTACCAATTTACATAATGGCATTGTTTTCTTGAATCAGTTTTTGCTTATCTAAAGGAAAATTAAATAACTTATTAATATTCCATTTATAACTAATAGCAAAATGTTATGTGCTTAAATCATTCTTCACTGAAAAACAACACAGAATTCCCAAATTCTGTGAAGGGTTCAAAATTAATTGATATATAGCTTTATAAACAATATCAACTTGTTTTAGAAAGAACTTCACAATTCAGAAGCTGAGATTGTCATATACACTTATGGAATAACCATTTTCATGATAATGCAGATTTTTTTCAGTTATAATTCTACCAATTTTCATATTGTTTTTCTTCTTTTAATCGTTAACTACCTAGCTGAGGTAGTCCTCATCTTACGACCACAAAGGAGTACAAAATTTCTGTTGCTGAGGAATTTAAGTTAATTTTGCCCATTTTATGACCTTTTTGCCAGTTGTTAATGAATTACTAGTTATTAAGGTAGTTGACATGGTTGTTAAGTGAATGTGCCTTCTGCATTGATTTTGCTTGTCAGAAGATGCAAAAGTCAGTCACGTGACACTGCACATGACACTCCAACCATCATGAGTCAGTTGGCAAGCATCTGAATTTTGATCATGTGACTATGGGGATACTGCAATGGTCTTAAGTATGAATAACGGTTGTGCTGGTTAGACAGTATATAGAGTGTGCTGGTTAAACAGTATATAGTTAGTTTGGGAATGGGAGCTGTCCCCTTAAGGGAATGCTTCATGGGAAATGTAGTTAATGCGTCTTGGGAGATGTAGTTCATGTGATGTGGTCACATCTGTAATCCTGATTGATCACTGAATTGACCTCTAGTTGGGCTGGGGGGAGTTTTGGTCATTCTTACCTGGACCCCAGCATTGTGCTGGAGTCTTCCCTTGCTGTATCATTATGGGATGAAGATAACTATCTTTTCACACTATGAAAATGACAATGGACATTAGATGAATCTCAGCATAACTGTGAGTTATACCTTGAGGATGCCTGATATAATCCAATAAAGAAACTTTGTATGGAAGCCTTTGTAATGTTTATCTGCCTGTCTCTATATTCAGCCAGAAAATTAGAGACTTGATAACGGTGATAAGTCACTTTTTTCAGTGCAGTTGTAACTTTGAACAGTCACTAATGAACTCTTGTAACTTGAGGACTACTTGTATATGGTTTTGAAAATGATTTTCCTTTTCTTGCTTACACTAATTTATATTTATTTTTTACAATAATAATTGGTATTCAAATTATTATAAAACAATTGCCAAATCACACTAACTATACCAAAACTTTATTTTTGGCTTTATTTTCTAATTATTCAGAGTGTTGTTTTCATGTTGCTTTATATAGCTAGTCCATTAAACATCCCCTACATCCACATCTTATGCTAGGAGGACAACCCTGAAAATGTATCTTCGGCGGCTGACAATGCAACTGAGCAAACAACAGGTCCTGATGATTTGACTGATCCACCTGGTACACCTAATGATGTGACTGATCCAGTGGACATTGGAGATGAAGACGCACTCATGAGGACAAAGCCACAGCTGGGGCTGAGCAATCTGCACTCTGGCTTAGCCAACAGAGAGGGTGAAATGGATGCATGGGTTCAAAAGGAACAATCAAATTCCAAGCAGGTCAGTAACTTGGCAGCCCAGCTGGAGAAAATGCGCCTTGATATGGAACTCACCATGACCAGATACCGTTATGAAGATAAGGAGAAGCAGCGACAACATGAGGAGAAAATGGAGGAAATGAGGTTGCAGGCACCATCAGGACAGGTGAGGTTGGCAGATAGAAAGAAATTCTAAGAAGATCAATAGAAATGGAAATTGCTCCACTGTTTTAGATTTAGAAACTGCCATTTATTGTTATGGATTTCTTCAACAATCCTTCTTTCACTTCTAGTAATCTAGGAATCATAGATCAAGGGCTCTTTAGAGAGCTACTATCATAGTTAACTGCCATAACTATTGTGAAACTGATTGACAGCCCATATTTTGCAAAAGACTGGATCTCCTTTGTTAAGAACATATTAATGCTAAAGATATTAAAATACAATTGGGTTGTTGAGTTTCCTCATAATAAGCAGGAATAGCAATAGGAAAGTAGAACTGATCAAGAAAAACATTAGGGGCAAATTACCTACTACTGCTAGTATTTCACTTTTTCTTTCCAATTAGGAACTCAGGTCAAAGAGCTCAGGCAGTGTAGATTTGGCCATATCATTTGCTTTGCTGCTGCACCGTGGGAAGTGGGGCAAGCAATACCACCTTGTCATGTCATCAAGCAAACCCCTAATGAACCCCCTCATTTGCACAGGGTATTATTTTGCTTGTATCAAGTGCCTACCATTTTTGCTGCCTATTGTTGCATAATACATTTAGCCTTTTCACTTATTATCATTCTCTAATTACTAAGAAAATACATGTCTCCTACTGGATAATGAGCAAGTGTTGAAATGTACCATGTTGGCTAAGAATGATTGGGAAATATTAAGTGGCCCTTTGTGACCAAACAACACATGTTAGTCTCAAGAAAGTCCTGAACCCATTGCCTGGGGCAAGGAAGATCTGAATGTGGATTAACAAATTGAGATTAAGTTCAAAAAGAAAAAGAAATAAAACAATCTTGGTTAATCCACTGACATGTTTCCACTTGCTTTGAAAAATCAGCGTTGCAATTTAGAGATACCCCTGGCTACTCAATGCAGGTATGTTTTTGCCCAGCTTGGCAGTTGTATTGTTTTCTCAGGGATGATTGATCTAGCTGCACCTGATAAATATCAACTTTCTGGTCTCTTCAATGTGCTTTTGATGGAGCTGCTCCTGAGAAATCTTTTGAAAATATAACTGGAACAAAATTTGTCATCAAAGTTGCTCTCAAGTGTGTAGTGGATGTCATGTATTACAATTATATGGTGCAAAACTATCCAATTTGTTTTTGTGCTAAATTCAAGACAGTGGCATCCATAGCAGATCATGATGTGAGCAAAAATAATGACAGGCGAATTACTTATGTACTTGATCCTAGTGTCTGGCCCAGATGCATATGTCATGAGATTTTGGTGAAGAGGGCATGCTTGGTTTGTCCTTTATCCCCTTGACCTTCTCTATCAATCCCAATAAATGTAGGTGTGGAACAAAATGACCTGACCTTTATTTAAATTCTTTATAACCTCATTAACAATGTCAGGGAAGCCTCTAAGATAAAAATCCAAAGTCATGTTCAGTTGAAAGAGAAGAGTAGCTGAATAAAGATATAGACTGCAGGATCCAATCTGAGATGGTTACCAGGACCAGAGGGTTGTTCTTCCAAGCTTTCACATCCTGGAGCATGAGAAGTTCCCAGAGGTTAGGCTCCAGCATGAGTCCAAAAGCTTGGAAGAATGAACCTCTGGTTCTTGTAACTGATCATATTGGATTCTGCAACATTATCCTGGGACACATATATTTACCTTCATTCGCAAAAGATCTGGACTTTTTGAGACAAGAGGATGGATAATTCCATTTCCTATTACACATAAAAAATACTGGCTAATGTGACTGTGAAATTTTTAGTACTGAGCATGGTACAATGCCTTTGTGCATTTGAAAGAAGCTTACCAACTTAGAGGTTGGGTAGACTATTCAGTACACCCTTCCCTTCCAACATTTTAAAGCCATCATCTAGCATCTGCTGCAGTGGTGGGATTCAAAGATTTTTACCACTGGTAAAATGGCTTGGCGGGCGCACTTTGCGTGCGTGCACACACTTTGCATGCGCACACGCACCAAACGTGCACTTTGTGCAGGCACAGAGGCATTTGCGCAGGCACAGAGGCGTTCCAACTCACATCCTGCAAGCCTGCACACTCTCCCTGTTGCTTCAGCAGCTGCTGCGCTTCAAAAGCAGGGAATAAAGGTGAGTATGGGAGCCCAGGCGGTGGAGAGAACTTGATTGGTCTCCACTGCTCATTACTGCTACCGGCTCTGCAGAACCAGGCCAAACCGGTAGAACACCACCACTGATCTGCTGGATGTATAATTGCTTTACTTTGCCTAATGCTAAATGCAGCCCTATCAAATGAAACAGCAGTGGTATAAACCAGTGGTGGGATTCAATTTTTTTTTACTTACCGGTTCTGTGGGCATGGTTCTGTGGGTGTGGCATGGGAAGTTTACTGTAAAATCTCCAGTCAGAGGTGGTATTTGCCGGTTCTCCAAATTACTCAAAATTTCCACTACCGGTTCTCCAGAACTGGTCAGAACCGGCTGAACACCACTTCTGGTATACACATGTTGAAGTACATAAAAAGAGAATTAAAGATTCTTAATTATGACTGAGTAGTTCTGCAGCAAAGTTTAGAAACATAGGAGCCATTAAGATAATGGAGTCACCTGAATGACTAACATACTGTGTGTATGGTATAAACACATTCATCTTCTGCCCTTTACAACCAACAAGCAAATAGTTACAAAACTAATCATCCCCAAAGTCAACTGCAGAATTTAGTCTATTCATGTGTCAATTTAAAAAGTCTTCCATTATCAGCTTCTTAATGTAATTAAACAATTATGGAATACTTCTCTGATTTTAAAAATATTCCGAGAATTGAATTTGAAAGTCATATTAAAATGATACTACACAGGCATAAATAATTATGACATTCATGGCTTACTTCCTAAGAGAACTTGACTTGCACTCCATCTTTGGAAATGATATCCTGAATGGAGTTGATGTTAGGATTGTACTGTTAAGAACATTAAAGAAAGGAAAGCTACTATCCTCATCATTTCCCTGAAGTGATTTATTTATCTCAGGGAGCCTTGCTGAAATATGCAGGAAAGACCACTTTCCTAAAAGCCAGAACTGGTGGGACCACAAAATAGACAAAGTAATACAAGGCAAAGTGACTAAAGTGCTCTGGGACTTTAGAATTCAAATAGGCAAGCACCTGCCACATAACACCCCAGACATAACAATTGTTGATAAGAAAGACAAAAAAGGTCTAGATAATGGACTTTGTAGCACCCGGAGACAACAGAAGGGAAAAGAAAAGATTGAATAAAATCACAAGACATCATTTGCTTGCAGGCAAGAACTGGTGAGACCATAAAACAGAGCAAGTCATACAAAATGAAGAAGCTAAATTGTTCTGGGACTTTAGAATTCAGACAGACAGGCACCTGCTGCATAATATTCCAGATTTAACAATTGTAAATAAGAAAGAGAGAAAAAAGTCTGGATAGTGGATATGACAGGACCTGGAGACTGCACAATAGAATAAAGAACTAGAGAAAATCACAAAACATAAAGACATGGAAATAGAACGATTGTGGCAGAAGCAAGCAAAGGTATTGTACCTTGGTACAATCTCAAAACAACTGGAGCACCATTTGAACACCATTGGCATTGACAAAATCACCATTAGTCAATTGCAAACAGCAGCTTCACTCAGAACAGCTTCTATCCTGTGACTATATTAACACCTTCAAGCATCCACATCTCCCTATCCCGGGTCCTTGAAAAGGACTCAATAGGTAGACAAAAATGCCAAATCCAGTCTGAACATCTGGCTGACTGTGCGACAAACCATAATAAATTAATTGCACTGAATTTAATGAGATTTATTTTCTGAATAAGATAGAACTGTGGTATCAGTTCCATGGAACAAACACAGAAACTAAAATTATAAATCATAATTATATAAATTTCATCCAGAAGAAACCCCATATTCTGTTCTTCAGCTTAATGTGAAGAGGCAATTTGAATCATACAACTTAAGTATTTTATAACAGAAATAATGTGCTTGCAAAGAAGGCCAAAAAAGTACCTTTGTTCTTTGCATTTTCAGTGACTGATAGGATAAGAAATGTAATTGGAATGTTTTCTTTCTTCTTTCCACAGGTTTCAGGAGGTGGCCATCATTTCCTCTTACCACATGACCCGCTTACCTTATTCTTATACTGCTTCATCTTCATACACCTCATCTATATAGCAAAAGAGCTTATCTTCTTCTTTTTTAAGAAGCACGGGATGTTTGCCATTGGTGCTGTCCTAATATTTGCAATTAAGATATTCTGGAATTAGAGCCTTTGACCTGTGAGGCTCTCTTTTCATAAGACCCTGACAACAGCCATGCTCTGCATCTGAGCACTTCATAGACTTAATTGAATGAAACCTTCTTATCTCCTATATTTGATGTATAGAAACTGGAAGCCCTTTCCTGCAAGAGCTTTGTCAGCTCTATACAGTACATGTATATTCATATCTACTTTGTGCAACACAATAAAGCACACAACTTAAAAAAATTGACAAATATACCATTGAGTTTGAATAAATTATTTTCATAACTGAAAATAGGGATGTCCTCAAATCTAATCTCTGTTTCTTTTTCCCCAAATTTCACTGAGTTCACTCTTTCTAGTAGTTCTCTACATAAGGATGCTGTTTTTTTTTTTTAAAAAAAAATCTCAGTTACTGTATCTTTTGATTGCAATCTAACTTTATGAAATGAATGCAGGTCTGTTTATCATTAGAAAACACACATGGATTTAATTGAGTCAGCTTTAAAATAACGAAGAACTGATTTATCTCCCTTTAAATTTAACATGGAAAAATGCAATCCTAACTGAGCTTATGGGGAAGAAAGCAAAGTAGCAGATTTGCTAGTATATATCTAGTTGCTTATTTTATTTGTTTATTATATTTAAAACATGTAATTGCCTGTCCAAAATGGACAGGCTTTTGTTCCATCTATCTGTAGTTCCCATATGTATGAAAATTATCACCTGTGGTTTGGATGAACAAAGCATCAAATCTTGAGCCAAATGAGAGAATGGGGGATTCTTGAAGACAGCAGGTTTCCAGAAACCCATTTTGGAGACTTACCATGATGTGGAGTGCCACTTATTTATCTTTTTCAATATCTTTATTGACTTTTCTTTGGGAGATCAAGGCAGCCCATATGGAGTCTCTCTTCATTTTTATCTACACAGCAATCTGTGAGATTTGTTGCATGGGCAAAGACTTCCGTTTGGACTAAAACCTAAGTTTTCCATTCTAAAAGTTTAACTATATTGTAGTAGATCTAGTTCTATCCCAATGTTTCTCAGCCTTGGCAGATTTCAGATGTATAAACTTCAACTCCCAGAATTCCCCAGTAAGGAATTTTGCTCTATCCAATTCTGACTGTTTTCAGAAGCACTTTGAAGCGTGGATTTTCTTTTTCTGAAGAAAAGGGAGAACGTGCTATGATTAAGCAGCTTTTCCCAATTTGGAACTTTCCAAATAAGTTTGCTTATGGCTGCTTTGGACTGAAGTGAGCTGTAGGTCAATATTCTGAAAGGCTTCAAAGTAGGTGAGACTTAGATAAAATTCTGTCTTTAGAGTAGTGTTTCTCAACTTCAGTCACTTTATAAGATGTGTGAACTCTAAGTCCCATAATTCCCCAGTTAGCATGAATGAATTCTGGGAGCTGGAGTCCTGAAAGGCTATTATTGAATAAAATTTACTGGGTTTGCTAGGTGAAATATTTACCTATCTATCATCTATTTATTTATTGCAAAGGAATAATATTCTGATTTGTAATGCATTTATAATGCAATACAAATAGTTCTAAATACAAGAACCTGTTTTCTTTCATTCTTTCATCAGTGTGAATATTATGAGTAAAGAGGACAGTTTCTTGCTCCGAGGACTTTATAGTCTAAAATTCAGCAGATGTAAAGCCACAGAAGAAAGGAAGTGGAAGCAGAATAAATAGGGAAGCAACTTGTGATTATTTCACTTGCACATGCATCAACTTTGTGCAAGCTGACTCATAAGCAGACATGAGGATGTATTTCCTATGCCTACAAAGTGCATGTTTTTCTCAACCTCCCTGAGAGAATCAAGCTGGACTGGCTGGAAAATTTGAAACAAGGATAAATAATTTAGAGAGAAAAGTTGAAAATGGCCAGGGGAAGCTTTAACTGTGGCAGACACAAATAACTTGTGCCTTAAAGTCTTTTGAAGCGGGCAGTCATAATAAATCGAATAATAATAAAAATAATACTCATCAAACCCACATGTGTTTGTATATTGCATGTACCTCTTATTTGGTGGGATATGGTGATAAAGACTGGGATTGCAAGGTAAGTCTCTAGATCAGTGATTTCAGGTTTCATAGAATAGAAGGAACATGCTTGGGTAAAACTGAATTTTGTGCTTAATGCATTTGGGCCACAATAGATCAGGAATGATGTGTATGTCCTTACTATAAACAGAGAATTTTACATATAACATAGGTATGACCAAAGACCACTCTGTATCCATCTTCATTGCCCCATTTTGGGATTTATTCCCAATTAAACAGGGTTGGCAAAGCTCATAAAAATTTAAGGCTGCCCTGATTTTTTTTTGTCCCTCCATTCTCATGTTGAGGCAGCATGTTGGCTGAATGGTTAAAATGTTGGGTTTGTTGGCTGGAAAGCCAGCAACACAAGCAGCATGTGATGGGATGAGCTCCCATCCTTGCCCCAGCTCTTGCCAATCTAGCAGTTCGAAAGCATGCAAATGTGAGTAGATAAATAGGTACCATATTGGTGGGAAGGTGACAACAGATTACAGGTAATCCACATTTAGTAACCATAATTGGGACTAGAAACTTGGTTGTTAAGAGAAGCAGTTGCTAAGTGAAATCATGACTATGCTTATTATCTTCAGCTTTCTTCTGCTTTATGAATCTGTGAACTTACAATTCAAGGATCAATTGCAGTTACTTTTTCATCACTGCCGTAACTGCAAATAGTCATTAAAAGTGGTGGTTGCTAAACGAGGACTACCTGTATGACCAAATGTCAATTTACCAAAAGGCAAACCAGCAAATTTGTTTTCACTAACACATCTAACTCCAAGAATGTAGTCATTCTGTTTCAGTTTTCCCCTTTTTCTCTGGATGGACATACAGCCAAGCAAATGCACTGGGCCATTTATTTTCCTAAGAATCCTCATATAATAAACCATTACATCCAGAAGCATTCTTGCAAAATGAAAGTGTATGCTAGGTTAGTGCTTTCTGGTATTTCATCCTTCCATTTATTATTATTAAGTTAAATTTAAGCAGGGAGATTAACAAGGGAAACTATTATCCACTCCTTTCCAAGTGGATTCACCATTGTGCTCCATAGTTTTTTCTATAACCCAGCGGTGGCACATTTGTTTGCCTGCAACTCTATTTAAAGAAAGATTAGGTAAGTGATAATGGAAGAGATGTTTAGTGTGTTCTTTATTTCCCAAGAATTATTAATTGAAGTAAGTAAAAAAAAAATCACTGCTGTTTGTTTTAGCTGATAAAACAACAAACAGGAACGAACCAGAAACTGAATCATATTTTAAGTCTACCCTCAAACTTATATTGAGAGGAACATTTTGAAAACTTATATTGACAGGAACATTTTGAAAACCAGGAAATAATATTTAGTGTGGTGATTTTAAGCAACTCTAGCACATATGCAGAATGGACACCACATCTTATTGGGGAGTAAACCCCATTATTGGGCCTTCAGTCAAGGGACACAAAAAGGCAACTGCTATAACATAGAGTCGGATTATTTGTTCTAGGCATTCTTTCACAATGAATTCAGTTAAAGAAAATAAAAGTTTCAAATGTCCAATCTTGCACAATATGCTAGTGGTTTACTATTACCTTTTTATTGGATTTTTTTAAACTTTCCATTCTAGCCTACATTTCTGGGTGTCTTCTAGACAACTGCCATTTAATGACTAATCTGTACAGTACTATAATCTGGGCAGTAAAAGATTGAGAAAACTCTTTCTGGCCTCTAGTGCTTATTTGGATTTTTGCAGTCCCAAAATAGAGCCCTAATCAGTCTAACTATGAGCATTTTTTTTCTGCTATTAGAAGGTAGGCAGCAGTTATGGATTTAATTACCGCAGCTTTGCAACCACTTTTTTGAAATAATTGGGGAAACTGCACTAAACAAAGACGGTACACTATTATAACTAGTGACAGATTACTAAGAATATACACAGATTTGGAAGAAAAATTCAAATCCTTGTTCATTGTGGAATTCTTCAAAAGACATTTTTTACCTCTAATAAGGTTGCTCACATGTGGCTTTTGCAATATATCAGCCAAGTCATTATGATAACTCTATGCAACATTTGATTCTTGTCATTTATTTATTTATGATTTTTAATAAGTTCACAGGCCCTTATAATCTCTTTAAGGATACCTCCCATACACAAAAATGAAAATAAAGAGACCAGGAATGAGTCTTCTTAGCTCCTTCCACTGGGTTGTTGTGAACAATTTGTCCCACCACGGAGCAAATACAACCTGCTTCTTAGTCTCAAAGTGACATCTGAACCAGGATGCAATGTGGCAGTTCCTCGCTGATTCAATTAGTTTTATAATACCTAGGACAAGATGCTTGAGTTTCTACTCAATTTTATTAAGGTCATCTAGTAAGTTTCTGCAATAATTTCACACCAACGCTGTCTTTCATGAAAGAGGAAAATGTGCTTTATATTTTTTGCACATTGTTTTCTAACCGGTGCAAGAGGAGGAGACTTAACGTCTCACTCTGACAGAAAAGAATATAAAGAAGAGCTGTCAATGGATATTCTCAGTCATCCAGGTCGTGGTTGTCCCAAAGGTGCTTTTTTTTCAAGAGGCAACTGGACTTTCTGGTTTTTCTTTGAAGACGTTTCGCTTCTTATCCAAGAAGCTTCTTCCGAGCCAGAACGTCCAGCTGCCTCTTGAAAAAGCACCTGTGGGATAAAGGAGAGCTGCGTCTCTAAACATCACAACATCGCTTGCAAATCGCACAGAGGCGACCATCGCTGATGCTGCTTTGGGATGTTATTTATCACCACCAGAAACAATCGTGTGCTTAATGATGTAGGAGCAAAAAAGTAAAGGGGGGGGGGAGCTGGTGGGATTGTCCGCCTCGAGATTCCAAGCCGTCTGTCTAGTTGACGTAAATGCCGCTTGACTGAACGTCACCGTCCAGCTGCAGAAATCTTCCGCCCAGTTGCAAAAGAGGGGTTCATTCATTGCCTGTCCACAAAGCTTGACAGGCAAC